TGTGGACCCTCCCTGGGCATCTAGAGGAAGGGGCAGGGGACATGGCACTGGCCACTTCTACTGAGACAATGACAGTGGACACTATGGGAGTTTGTGATGGGAACAATACCAGATTTGTTATTCATCTGTGTTGTACTTGCATTTCTGGGTGTTCTGTTGTCTGCTGTCATGGAGCCTCAGAGCCAGAGAGGGCTAGGCGGAGCCCTGGGGGTTGAGACACCTCCTCCTATGAGACCTGTCCTTGCCCCCGGCTCAGGTCCGCTGCCCTGTGCCCCTGAGGCACCCAGAGCCCCCGCCCAACAGGACCTCTGCTCATGGCCTCGTCCCTCTAGCTCTAATGTTGGTCACACACCCTTTACCAAATTCTCCCAAGCTCCCCAGATCTTCAGACACCAAGGCAGGCGTCGCCCAATGCCCACATTTCCACTGCCATGCTAGGGGCCTGGGAACCCCTAGTTCAGCACAGCCCAGAGCCCAGAAAGCAGGAGGCTCCTCAGACTAGGTGGCAGCTGGATTGCTGGAGCAAAGCGTAGGCTGGGCTGGCGGGACGCAGCTGTACATAAACCATCACCACACTCGAGCTCCCAGACAGACCCTGCAGCCACTCACTCCCGGCCTGAGAACCACTCTACATGCCATCAGCCCCTCTCCTGTCCCTACTACTTTCTCTGCATGCTCCAGGACTCTGCCGCCAAGGGTCCCGGAAGCCTCCATAGCACTGGGTGTGCCTGTAGACAGAGACACGCCCAGTTGAATAGGGTCTCCCGCTTCCTTCCCTCTGTCCACCACGGCTAGCTCTGGGGCCCAGGGAGTGGACCAGGCTCTGGCTCCAACTCTAGGGCATGTCACCACTGGTCCTCAGGGCCTGGCCCCCAAGGACTGTCTTATATTTGCTTGGCACATGAATTCCCCAAGTAACTACACCCTAGATGTGTTTCCAATGCTCCTCTTCTCCCACGTGCAGAGCATGTGACATCCGGGAAATGGCGCTGCATGTGGGCTGTGGTCTCAGGCCACCCCCTGCCTGCCAGCCAGCATCTAGGATCCTCCACAGGAACCCAGGACAGATGGGGCTGGCTCAGCCAAGGACCCAGATCACCGAATCACCCCAGGGAGCCGAGGGCATGGGTTGGCTCTACAGGCCTGGGGTCGAGGTAAGGGAGCCCGTGAGTAGGAAAATAAGGCAGAAGTTAGCCCAAGAAAAGTGGGGCGGTGCTTTGTGTAGCGTGAGAAGAGCAAGAACAGGAAAAAGTCCAAAAAGAGCATGAAACTGCTTGAGGAACCAAGCACTGGGGAAATATCTAAAGCTTCCCTTGTCAAGCCCTTATGTCTCATCAGCAAGGAGAGGAAAGATACTAGAATTTGGGTCCCAGAGAAGAGAGGTCTCAGTGACTTTTCTGTGCAGACCTGAGGGACCCCCCCCCATGTTGGGTTGCCTCAGCACCCCTCTTCAGTGTTTCACCCTTTCCATCCCTGCTGCAGCCCATCACTGTTGGAGATCCCTAAGGCATGAAGTGCTGAGACAGGGAGATTGTCAGTGTCCTGACTGGGAGACTGGTCATGGCTCAGAGACTGACCAGCACAGGTTACAAGACTGGCCGTGCACAGGTCAGGATATTTTTCCCTGTGTCAGTGACACTAAGCCTGGGAGACAATCTAGATAAGAAAAGAGAATAAAATCATCTCATAACACAGACCCTGGCGGTGAACGTGCACCACTATAATGCAGAATACCAAAACAAACAAACAAAAAAACCCTGTCTCGTAACGAACGTAGGGCGGGCTGTCTCATTGACATGGGTGGCCAGGTACACGGGACGCTTGAGCTTGTACTGAGGTGTCTTGAGTCCCCTGGGTCCCTCTTCCCTTAAACTCATTCTCAAGCCATCAGGTCTCTGTTTCTAGGTTCTTTCGGACCCTCTCTTCAACCCTGTTCCTCAGCACCTGGCTCAGGAGTGAGCATAGTGGCTGCTTCTGATGTCCTGAATGCTGTCAAGAAAAGAAAGCCTATGTAACAGAGTTTAACATTCAGTTGACATGGTGGATTTGCAGTTTACTGAATTTGATGATTGTGTTACAGCTATGTGAGAAAACATCCTTTACTGAGTAGACAGACCAAAGTCCTACAAAGTAAGAGACATGACAGGCAATTTATTCTCAAATAATCATCAAAAAATTAAAAATACAGGCTTCCTGGTGGCACGCGGGTTAAAGCGCAACACTAAGAAGATAAAGCCACTTCCACATGAGTTCGATTCCTGCCTGCCTGGGAGGAGATCCACATGGCGTGGCAGACCTCTCCTGACCCGCCCGCTGCTCCCCTCAGCAGTGTACTTCGTCCATCTGCCTGTTCTGCTCCCCACTCTGTCTCTGGTGAATCCTCTCACTGCCCCTGCATCTCTAGCTTGTACCCCAATCCCAATTCAATTAATACATAAATAAAAAAATCTTTTTAAAAATTAAAAATACAATAGAATAATAAAAACTAGAGAGAAACAGAAAGTCAATGTGCTGTAATATTAATAAGAAAGGGATCTTCACCCACTGTCCCCAGTCTCCTCACCGGGAATGTCGATTTCCCTGATGCTGAGCTCCCACAAAGCAGACCTGGCTTGGAGCACACACCTCACTGCCCCTGGTACTTCCTCAGATTTGCAGTGGGGCTCAGTAAACCCTGAAAACCAGGAGTGGCTAGAACACTGCTTCCTGGGCTTGCTATTTCCTTTGAGAGCTGCATGGCACCCCACGCCCACCTCCCTAGAGAGCCTGCACCCCAGCCCTAATGAGTTTAGGGGTTCTGGGTGCACTCCTGAAGACGCCTGCACCTGTATGCTCCATGGCTCAGCCCAGCACAGTGAGCGCCCCGATTCCAACATCTGCTCTGCCTGTGGAGGTGGCTTATGTGGGTGCCCTGTTCTGAACCTCTGCCCTTAGCAGGCCCTGACCACTCCCCTCCCCTGGCCACGCCCCAGTGTGGTTTCCTGTGGTGACTTCCTGGTCTGCTGCTAGAGGCCAGTTCTTCTCAGGGGTGTCTCAGGGCCAGGCTGGCTCTCAGGAGACCTGGGTGGACGCTCTGAGCTGGACCCTCTGGCACCCCCACCTCCTGTCAGCATCAGTGCTTAAGGCTGAGACCCCAGAGCCCAGGTCCTGGAGAGGGAAGACCCAGAGGACACAGAACAGTGAGTGTCACCCCAACCCCCTCACCCTGCCACCCAGCAGGGATCCTGAATGACACCCCTTCTCCCCGGGACCCCCGGTCTCCTGAACTTTTCAGGGTCCCCACCCCCTGGGCTCCTCCTTTCTGTGCTTTTCTTACATCCCCTCAGCTTCCTCCCCCAACACCATCTATGGGCAGGTTCTCTGGGCTGTGAGAGCTGGGCTGTGGGTGAGTGTGGACAGGAGTGACCCAGGCAGGAATGTCTCAGTGGAGTCTTGAGTTGGGGGTGAGGGACCGAGGGGGGCCGCCGTTCCCTGCCTGCTTGATGTTCCTCCCCTCTCATCCCCCAACCTCCAGTGAATGTCCTGGATCCATCTGAGGCAAATGTGGACTGTGAATACATGGAGCAGGCGACCGAAAGGAGAGAGGAATACGTGGATTCTGACCTCCGGCTGTCTAGACACTCTTCTCATTTGACCCAGCCGTATGACCTGGAGGCGGCCCTGCCACTGCCAGCTCGTTGTGAGGCTTCTACATCAAGTGAGTAGGCACAGTGCCCTCTGCCTGGTGTCAGATATCAGGCCTGGATTCTGCTTTTATTGTCCTTGAGGTGAGGACCTAGTCTTTCATGATCCCTTTTTATTGTGCTAAGTGTAAACAGGAGAGGGAATTGAAAGACTGGAAAGTGAAAGAGAAAGTGACCTAAGTGTTCAGTAATTGAAATCAACTGTGCTCCCCCCATGACCTCTGCCCCTCGCCCCACCCTGAACCCTCCTAAACATTCTCTACTCAGTGCCTGGGGTCCCCCACCCTAGGGGGGATCCTAACCACAGCAGGCAGCACTCACAGGACCTTCCTCTGCCAGTGCCTTCCCAGCACCCCATGTGTCCTCCTGTGCCCAGGGCTGCTCAGAGGCCAGAGAGGAGGGGCTGACACTCAGAGGGGCCCTGGGAGGGACAGTGGGGTCCTGTCCAGCTCCCCGCAGATGCCTGCCTGGCTCCCGCTCTGTCCTGGGGTCCATCTGTAAAGTGGGGGAGCGAAGCCCCCTCTGGGGATGTGTGCGGGTAAACAGATAACAGGGTAACCCCCGCACTGCTCTCCTCCCGGTCAGCACCAGTCGCAGGCTCGGCCGCGGCCATCCTGCCACCCCTGTCACTCCCAGCAGGCCCCGGGCCAGACGCCCCCCTGCTCAGGGGGGCCGGGACTCTCGGGGGGCAGAGGCAGAGCAGGACAGGGTGCGCCTCTCCTGGGCCCCAGTGAGGACGTCTGTCCAGCGGTGTCTGTCTGGGTGTCCTCTCCTGGGCATCAGGCCGGGCTGGCGCGGGGCCAGCAGCGGCTTCCGTGGGTCTCCGGAGCCCCTGGACACACAAGCTCTGAGACAGAGCACCGGACCCCAGAACCACCGTTCCTGGGCGAGATGTCTGCTGCCTGCTGCGGCCTCACACACCACCCAGCCCCTCCCCCAGGCTCCCCACTGCCCACCTCCTGCCTTGCTGATAACCTCCCCGACAGTGAGACACGGGCTCTCATTTTGCTCTGATTCACACTTGTCTGATCGTTAGTGATGCTGAGCAGCTTTTCATGAACTTGGGCATTTGCGTGTCTACATTTAGAAAATGTCTCTTCAAGTCCATTGCTGATTTGTAATCGGGTTATTGATTTGTGTTCTTTATGTATTTTGGATACCTCACCTGGTATATAATTTGTAACTGTTTATGCCCCCATGATGGGTTGTCTTCTCATTCTGTTGACCACTTCCTTTCCTGTTTTTTAGTTTATATAGGCCTACTTACTGATTTTGGGATTTATTCTTGTGCTTTTGGTGTCATAGACAAAAATAAAATCATGTCAGGACCAAAGTTAAGGAAATGTTCCTCTCTGTTTTCCTCTAGGATTGCTATGGTTTGAGAGATCACATTTGATTGTCAATCATTTAGAGTTCTGTGCTGTGCCATCTTCCTCTTAACCAATACCCAATGTAATGACTAGGCCACCCTTTATGGTTTTCAGTGAGATTGCAAGACACCCTTCGGCAGCAACCTCCAGAAAATCTTAACAAAATAAAGGTTTATTACTCACAACCTTGGAAACTGCACAACACACCTGGGACTACATAGTGAGGTACACGGAGAGGGTGTAGGAGAAAGACAGGGAGATATCAGGCCTGGATTCTGCTTTTATTATGGCTGAGGTGGGGGCCTAGTCTTTCATGATCGCTTTTCATTGTGCTAAATGAAAACAGGAGAGAGGGAATTAAAACACGGAAAGTGAAAGAGAAAGTGACCCAAGTGGTCAGTTATTGAAATCAACCAAGATCTATAAAACAAAGGAAACTTTATGGGGAAAGTTACCCAGCTCTTTATCTAGTTGTGTGCCTGGAAATGTGTTTATGCAACATACATCGATGCCTCTTTGAATTGGTTACTGAGGGCAATCAAAGCTCAAGTCAGGCACGTGCTCTGTGTAAAGAGGAAACCCAGCTGTCAGGGATTGTGAGCAGTGTAAGAGAAAGGCCCAGTTTCATTCTTTTGATAACAATCGGTAGTTTTCCCAGCCCAACTAATTTAAGAAATTAACCTTTTTCCTTTATTATTCTTGGCTTCTTGTGCAATTTTAGTTGACCATATAGGCAAGTGTTTATTTCTGGTCTCTCACTTCTGTTTCATTTGTCTATGTGTCTGATTTTAGACAGCTACTCTTTTGATTGCTGCTGACTTTACATCTTAATTTAGTCATTTTTTAGCTCTTTGACATATAAAGTTAGGTTACATATATCATTCTTTTTCTTAGTATAGGCATATACTAGTATAAACAGCCCTCCCAATCATCCTTGCTTTTGATGCATTGCATGTGTTTTGATGTGTCATTTGTACTTCCATTGGTTTCATTATTTCTTACTTTTCATGTCATATCTTCTTTGACCAATTCACTATTCCAGAATATTTTTTATTAAATAATTTATTTACTTATATAATTCTACACCATGTTTGCTTTCTTTTCTCAAATGTAGTCCCCATTGAATTTCCACCAGCAATTCACCTGTGTACCATCATAGAGTCCCTTGTGTGCTTCCTGCCCTTGTTTTGATCCCTCTCCTTCCCCCTCCTCTGAAGGATGTCTCTGATTTTTAGTTGCCTGCTTATTTTCTTGTGTGTGTGTTGTGTTTTTTTTGTTAATATTTTTTCTCTGATCACTTATTTAGTTTCCCCTATATTCCTCCTACATGTAAAACCATATGATATTTTTCTTTTTCTTTGTGGGTATTTCATTGAGCATAATCCCCTACAGCATCATCCATTTCCTCTAGCTGACATGAGTTTATCCTTTTGTTACAGTATAATATTCCACTGTGTGTGTGTGTGTGTGCACATATCATCATTTTAATCCAGTCATCTATTTTTGGGCTCTTGGGTTATTTCCAAAGTCTTACCTGTTATAAATAATGCTGCAACAACCGTAGGTGTGCAAGTGTCCTTTTAAATTAATGTTTTTGTACCCTTTAGGTAGATTTTTAGGAGTGGAATTGCTGGGTCATAGGGAAGCTCCATTTTTGGTAGTCTCAGAAAATCGACACAGTGTTCCAAAATGATTAGACGATTTTGCATTCCCACCAGCAGTATAGGAGAGTTCTATTTTTCTCCACATCCTTGCCAACATTTGTTATTGCCAGGTTTTTTTTAGAAGTGCCAGTCTCATTGGTGTACAGTGGTATGTCACTATGATTTCTATATGTATTTCCCTCATTATCCGGGATTTGAACATTGTTTTTTCCATATACCTGTTGACTATTTGGGTTTCCTCACTGGAGAAGTGTGTTTTTAGGTCTTCTGCCCATTTTTTTACTGGATTTTTTACTTTGTTTTTGTTGAGTTTTGTGACTTCTTTGCAGATCTTTGTCATTAGTCCCTCACCAGTTGAACAGAGTGCAAAATTTTTCTCCCAATCTGTATATTGTCTCTTTATTTTAGTTGATGTATCTTTTCCTGTACAGAAGCTTTTTAGTTTGATATAATCCTAGATGTTTATCTTTCCCTTCATTGTCCTCACTTTGGGAATGAGTCTAAAGATGTTACAAAGATAAATCATATAATATTTTACCTGTATTTTCTTCTATATATTTTATGATTTCAAGTCCTACATGCAATTATTTTATCCAATTTGAGTTTATTTTTGTACATGGTGTGAGGTAAAAGTGTAGTTTAATTCTTTTACATGTGTGGTCTAGTTTTCCCAGCACCATTTATTGAAAAAACTGTCCTTATTCCATTTCATATTCTTTGTGATAGCTCCATTCACCCTCTTTTCAGTCAGGAGCTATTTGAGTTATTTGTGAGTCCATATCAATTTCATCAATATTTATTCTATTTCTTTGAAGAATGCCACTGAGATTTTTTTTCAGTGATAGAAAAATCCTCATTTTCTTATCAGGATTGCACTGAATCTGTAAATTGCTTTTGTTTGGATGGCTATAATGTCAATTCTTCCAATCCATCAGCAGGGGATGTCTTTCCATTTCTTTGTGTCCTCTTCTATTTCTTTTAATAATGTTTTATAATTTTCTTTGTATAGATCACTCACCTGCTCAGTTAAGTTTGTTCCCAGTTATTTAGTTTTCTTGTTTCAACTGTAAATGGAATAGCTTTCTTAATTTCTTCTTCAGATTGATTGTTTGCAAACAGGAAGGCTACTGATTTGTGCATGTTGATTTTGTATCCTGCTACCTTACTAACCTGGTTTATTATTTTAATTAGTTTTTCTGTCCTCCAGGTGATTTTTAACAAGTTTGTAATTGTACATCTAGAGTTATGTGAACAGGAAAAAGGCACACATGGGCAGAGAAGAAGCACAATCTGGGCTTTAGATTCATATTACAAACTTTCATTTTTTGGAGCAATCACATGACCCAGCAATTCCACTCCTAGGAATCTACTCAAAGGACACCTGCACCCTATGTTTATTACAACACTATTCAGAATAGGTAAAATATGGAAACAACCCAAATGCCCAAAAATAGGTGACTGGATCCAGACGATGTGGTACATATACACAACAGAATATTAGTCAGCAATCAAAAGATAAACTCATGCCATTCAGAGCAGCATGGATGGAGCTGGAAGGGATTATGCTCAGTGAAATAAGTCAGAAAAAGAAAACTATCAGATGGCTTCACTTATGGGAGGAATATAGGCAAACTAAATAAAGGATCAGGAAAAAAATTAGTATTATAATAAATTAAAAAACAAAATTGGGCCCTCCCCGGTGGCACAGCGGGTTAAAGCACAGCACTAAGAGGCTAAGGCCACTTCCACATGAGACAGATCCCCGCCTGCCCCAGAGGTAACTCACATGGAGTGGCAGACCTCTCCTGACCCGCCTGCTGCTCCCCTCAGCAGTTTAACAGTCTGCCTGTTCTGCTCCCCACTCTGTCTCGGGTGAATTCTCTCACTGCCCTTACACCTCTGGCCTGTATCCCAGTTCTGTATGCATAAATAAATAAATCTTTAAAAAATTGACAGGCAATTATAAATCAGAGACATCCTTCAGAGGTAGAGGAGGGAGAAGTATCAAAACAGGGGAGGAAAGAGCACAAGGGACTCTGGGTGAATTGTTGCTAGGAAATTTACAGTGACTCCACCTGAAAGGAGAAAGCATATATTGTACAAAAAGGGATAATGACGTAAAATATATATTCAACAAATAAAATCTAACAAAAATGAAAAATTTCACTTTTAACCCAAGCAATGAAGAAATGTCTCAGGGCTTCAACAGTGAAATGTCTCAGGGCTTCAACAGTGATGTGGTTCTTTAGAATAAGCTGCTCAGACAATGGACTGAGATGGACAAGAGCAAGTAACTCTGTAGTGATTCTGGAAGAGATATCAGGCTCTGGGATTAGGGTGGAGGCTGAGCAGGTGAGAGACAGGGATAGAAAAAAGAGTGTGGGGGGGGAGGATGACACCCCAGTTTTGACAAAGATAGGTGGGCTAATGGGGGAGGTATTGATAGACACATGGAGAATGGAGACAGGGAGGGGTTCAGGAATTCAGATTTGGATGAGTAAATTGAATGGAAACAAACCAGCTTCCTCCCAGAACCCAGAGAGAGTAAACGACTCTGTGTCCAGGAGCCAAATGTGACAACCTCTGATAGAACCCCAGAGAAAGAGGGATGACTGATAACACAGCTCCTCTGAGAGAGAGACCAGAATCAGGGGGCTTGAAGGGGCTTGGCTGGGTGTCAGAGGGGCTCATACCCTCCATCCCCCTTCTCTTTTGTGGGGCAGGACAGGATGTTCTCTCACAAGAGCCCTATTTTACAAGATCTTCCACTGCTTCCACCAGGTGGTTTCTGTTCTCTCTCCCCACCTTTGGGAGAAGCTCCTCTCCTAAGCACCTGTCCTGTCTCAGGCTCTGACCCAGGACCCAACTCCCAAAGCCCACTCTGGATCTGAGGTGTTGGATTCTCTTCTCTACCCTTTATCATTTTTTTTTTTTTTTGAGCCATATTCTGACAGGTCATAAGCTGCCAGCCTAGAGCATGTAGAGGAGTTGGCACTGGGGCCGAGGGGAAGGGGAGAGTGGGCAGGGCTGGGTCAGAGGGCGCTGGCGGGGCCTCCTCAGCAGGCACCCCAGGAGCAGAGGTGGAGTCTGCACCGCACCCCCTGGCTGTGCAGCCACCTGGTTGGGTGGGGCCTCCCCGCTCCAGCATCAGGGCTTGGGACAGGTCCTAGCGTTGACCACGACGCTGCCTGTTCCAGAGGGAAGCCACTGTCAAGTAGCATGGGTGGAACCTGTCTTTCTGCCTCCTCCCACCCCTCTAGGCAATCTGCACGCAGAGCCTCTGACAACCACGGATGAGTTCTGGGGCCCCAAAGGACATATTGCTATCGAGGTGATTGACCAAGAAAGGAGCCAGTACCGGTGAGTGAGGGAGTGAGGGTGCTCCCATGTCTGCCTGATCTCTGTGACCCCACACTGGGTCCACACATTGTCCCAGGGAATCCTCTCCACTAACAAACCACAACACAAGCAACGGTTGAGATACTGGGTGATTACTTTATTAATGCGAAAAGAGGTTTGTTATAGAAATTTCCAAACAAGGGACTTTCCTGGTGACGTAAGGGGTCTCGGCACTATAAATATATTGGCAGCCAGGAAGGCAACCTACATGGCATGGCAGACCTCTCCAGCTCACCCTTTGCTCCCCACTACAGAGTATTTCAGTAGATAGCCCTGTGTTGCTCCCCATTGTGTCTCTGCTGAGTCCTTGCACCCTCCTGAACCTCTGGCCTAACATCAATTCTTAGGCATAAACAAATAGAATAAACCTTAAAAAAAAATCCTAACAAAACCTAGTATATAGACTCTGACATTTACCTATCACACAGCTTTTACAACAACATGTCAAATGTGTTTCAACTGTTGACTTTCCCTCTTTTTTGTTGTTGTACTATATCTTAAATGTATGAGAGCAAGTGATTTTTATTCTTAAATATGTTGTGATGCACTTTTTAAAATTGCAAATAAAGACTTAATATCCCAAACTACAATGTATTGTCACACCCAACAAAGTTTACAATAAACCTTCATGTAACTAATAGCCAGTACATTTGAATTGACTCACTTGTCTATAGTTTGTCCTGTAGGTGGTTTCTTCAAGGGCTCCAAAGCACCTACATTCTGTTTCCTTTGTTATGGCTATCAAATCTCATTTAATATATTTCCATTATATGCTCCTATTTTATGAATATCCACTATGTCTCACTACCACACTAGTAACCCTGTAGGTAAAATGCAGTCCTGTCCCCTGAGGGTCTCCAGTCATGAGTAATAAGTATCTATAGTCATGATCAAGGTCTCCCACAAACACACTGCCCTTGGCAAATGTCAAGTCAGTGATACTGATTTTTCTAGGCTGGGAGCTAATGTCATTTCCAACAAACCCTACAGAAATTGACATGCTGGGACCTCACCATTAACATGTTGATTGCTATTATTGGCAAATAATCCCTTTAAAAATAAAAACATGTGGGCCCTCCCTGGTGGCACAG